GCAAAACAGCAATAAAAAAATGAAAATCCTATCAGATTTATAGTCTCCACTCTGCAGATATATTAGAATCTGTCCTTAAATTCCAGCCAAACCCATTTACACAGTAACAGATAAAAACCTTTAGATAAATCAAACATTACCGCCACATATCTGACTCAATAACCATTAAAACAAGTATTTTCATTAATCTCAGACGGAACTATTCACATTCTTGATTATATTAAACTGAACTTCCAATTTTCACCACTGTTCGGCGCCATTTCCCTTTTTCCTCTGATCACGGAGCAAATCACAGCTTGCTTGGTCTCGCAATGAATCCTGGGAAAACCAAGGATACCGAGGACACATGGGACCCATTCCTCAAATCAGGCAAAAAGAAGGACGCATTTAAAGGCGGCATGAAGAGGAGTCTTTGAATCCAACCAGACCTCGGCACCGCGCTATGACGTAATCGTCCTTCGAATCTGGCCTTCTAAGGATGCAGCACATGAATTCAAACTGGGGCTTAGTGGCTGGATCACCAGGTTTTTCAATCGCCGCTCAACCAACCGAACAATTTTTCCGCCACTAGGGGGCGTAACAGGCCATACCCCAGAGCCTCTGCTTAAAAAAGGCTGGCATTTTGATAACTTTAAACATCAAAATGCATTATTATTTGATTAAATCCTTTTTATGAATTATGGGTGGCATTTTCATCATTTTAAATGTCCTCCAAGGATATGTATAATCTGTTATAAATGGCTTTCATAAAACCAAGTTAGCGTCCATTGGCCTATTCCGCCCCCTAGTGTCAACATCTACATATGCAACATATCCTTAGTGTGGTTAAGAGTAACAAAGTTTTCTGATAGGATGGATGCATGTTGCAAAGCACAGCCACTCATGCATGTTTATAATATTTTTTTATTACTATATTGTGACGATCCTCTCCTGTCCAGTAGTTGTCGCTATATCACTATTTGTTTTTGTTCTTTTCAGGGTAGATGGGCTGTTAATTGAAAGCACCTGATGGCTGATGACACCCAGTCAGTCACTGGCCCTGCTTGATTTGGCCTCCAGAGAAGACTGGAACAGGCAGCACTGATCCACACTTCTCTCTGACTGGCTGAGTAGTTCCCATGACATCATTTGGAGAAAATAAACAATTGTTTACATAAATCCACTCGTCTGTCTGCCATTTTTGTCAGTTCCTATGATTGGGGCGTGACTGGTGAAATGAATTCTCAATGAACCATTTGGGCTAATGGCTTTAACGATCCCCACAGTTCATGAAGCTCCATGTGGACATGTCACCACCTACTGGTGCACTCCACCAGTAGGTGGTGAGCATTAGGAGTTTCATTCAAAAATAATCTAACATATTCATTCTATATATTGATTAATTCAAGAAATTGCAATGTTGACAACTTTTATTCAAACTTGTTAAAGCTGAATATTTTAAAGTCAAATATTCTCAGGAATAATCTCAGAGGTTTATCAGCTTATCAAACAAGAGGCATATTAAATAATTGGTTATACACCAGTAGCCTTTGGGTAAATAGTAGAGAACAAAACCAAAGTGCATCTTCATCTGCAGGGCTGGTTTTGAGGCTGCTGAGATCTGCAGTCTCCTCTTACTTTAACCCAAATATTGTTTCATGTGTTTTTCATTTTTATGAAACTCACACCAGTAGCTATGAAAACATCACAGGTGTAGAATATGTAGCTTTAAGAAGGAAGAAAATCTTGGATGCTTCAAATCAGCCTTTTCAAAAATACACGCACCTTAAAGGAATAGACACGTGTTGGTGATAAATCCTTCCAGATTATCACAGATCTAACCCAAACAAAGAAATAACAAAGATTCCATTTCTAATTCTATAAGTTCCTCTGAGGTTTTATGGCGGTTGGCAAACTTGTGAAATGTGCGCTACCGCCACCAACTGATATGGAGTAAAGCAAGGAAACAGGAAACGATTCACCCAAAAAAAAAAACCTGTGTAACTTAATCCCACATAATACTAAATCACATTTGCCCTTATAATTTAAATTTAACTTTAAGTCATCGTCTCTCTCCCAGTTTCTGATGGTCCCATCGGTCCTCCCATCATGCTTCCAACCTTCTCCCAGTTCAAATCTTTCACGTCCAGATATTTTTCTGCAGCCTTCACTATTATTTTGATTTTTTCGGTTTTTCTTGTCGTCTTGCACTACAATTAATCATTTCCACCATGAATAGAACAAAATTTCTCTTTTTAACAATTAGTGAGTCTTCATCAATTTTTTGACATTTCTCGAGAGGTTTGGAATTTGCCGTGTGTTGAACTGTAGGTTTGGGTTTTCCTGACTGAGATGGGATCCTTTTAGCAGCTTCAGCGTACTTTATTCCAAGCTCAAATTTCATATTTTTTTTTTTTTTCCTCAGACCTTTTGTTTGCTTTACAGCCACGATAAGCAGCAGTATGTTCTCCACCACAGGTACAGCATTGTATTTGAGCTTCTTTTCCACATTTTCCATACTCATACTCTCCTGCACACCTTCCACGCCCAGGGCCGGCGATTGCTATAGGCGAGCTAGGCAATTGCCTAG